AAATTTTAGCCAAATATCCCCAGTTTGCTAACTGTAGGTAGTAACTAAGTGATTGTAACCTATCCACCGCTGCCCACTGGATGGGGGGCGGTGTGCAGGACAAACATATAAATTTTGACACTAGCTCTCCACATATGTCAGTTACTTAATTTAGAACCTGTACTTGAGGTCGATCTCGAACCCATTGTTGATGTGATGACTTATATTGAATTTTGTAACTAGCTCATCAAGATTGTAACTTGCTTAGCTAAATGAATTGTGGGGTTCAGTCCCTGAGCCCATTATGTGCCTCTGTAACCCTTTCCACTACCGCGCACAAGATGGGTATGGGGTGCATAATAAATGAACTAAACTAACTGTTTATTCAGGAAAGGTACATACATACAAGTGATGTTACATTAATGGATCGATATATAGATAGAGCTAGTACATACAATGCCTAAAGCCACTATTACGCAATGCGTTTCGGGCAGGAAAAACATTAATATCTAGAACTTAATACTAATTGAGCATAAAGAATAAAATGTGTTGAGAACAAATACAAATAAAGATAAAAAAAAGGGGGAACATGACTGAAAAAGCAGCACAAATACAATACGTTGACAGTGTTGATTAAAAAAAAATAACAGACATGGGTTGACAATAGAGGGGTAAGGTAGGTTACAGGGAATTTATTAGGTAGAGTTTAGTTTTTATCTTAAACTGGTTGAGAGAGGTACAGTCTTTAACATGGTTGGGAAGATCATTCCACATTCTGGGTCCCTTGATTTGTAGAGCATTTCTAGTTTGATTAAGTCGTACTCTTGGATTATCAAAACTGTATTTACTTCTGGTGTGGTGCTCATGGGTTCTGTTACAACCTTCAATGAAGCTTTTGAGGTCAGGATTGGCATTACAGTTCAGCGTTTTATATATGTATAATACACAAGAGAGAATGTGCAGTGACTTAATATCTAACATATTCAGAGATTTGAGTAAGGGTACCGAGTGATGTCTGGGGCCAGAGTTGGTTATTGTCCTAATAGCAGCTTTGTGTTGGGTAATTAGAGGACGTAAATGATTTTGGGTAGTAGAACCCCAAGCACAAATACCATAGTTGAGATATGGATAGATGCGGGAGTAATAGAGAGTAACCAGGGCAGGGTGGGGTACATAATATCTGATCTTAGAAAGCTCATGCGCTATGGAAAAAATGGAAATATAAAAACGGAAACCACGTACAAAACTCAGGTAAATCATAACATAGAACGAAAAGGCAATGTAAAGGATCTGGGTGTACTCATGTCGGAAGACCTTACCTTTAAAGAACACAATAAAGTAGCCGTCACAACTGCAAGAAAAATGACAGGTTGGATAACAAGAACTTTTCACACTAGAGATGCTATACCGATGATGATACTTTTCAAAACGCTTGTGCTCTCTAGAGTAGAGTACTGCTGCACAATGACAGCACCTTTCAAAGCTGGAGAAATTGCTGACCTGGAAAGCGTGCAGAGATCCTTTACTGCTAGAATCCACTCAGTAAAACATCTAAACTATTGGGACCGACTAAAGAGCCTAAAACTGTACTCCCTTGAGCGCAGGCGGGAGAGGTACATAATAATTTACACGTGGAAAATATTAGAGGGGCTGGTCCCAAACCTGCACACAGAAATAACATCACATGAGACCAGAAGACATGGCAGGATGTCCAGAATACCCCCGTTGAAAAACAGAGGTGCAACTGGTACTCTGAGAGAGAACTCTATCAGCATCAGAGGTCCGAGACTGTTCAACACGCTTCCACTACACATAAGGGGCATAACTGGCCGACCCCTCACAGTGTTCAAGAGAGAACTGGATAAGCACCTCCAAAGGATACCTGATCAACCAGGCTGTGACTCATACGTCAGGCTGCGAGCAGCCGCGTCCAACAGCCTGGTTGATCAGTCCGGCAACCAGGAGGCCTGGTCGACGACCGGGCCGCGGGGACGCTAAGCCCCGGAAGCACCTCAAGGTAACCTCAAGGTAAGGTGCTGCTTTTTCAGCCATGTTCCCCCCTCTTTTACCTCTGTTTTTATTTGTTCTCAACACATTTTATTCTCTATACCCATTAGTATTAAGCTTTAGTCATTAATGTTTTTCCTGCCCGAAACGCTTTGCGTAATAGTGGCTTTAGGCATTGTATGTACTAGCTCTATCTATTAATCCAATAAACTTTGTAAAATCTCTTGTATGTATGTACCTTACCTAAATAAACTTTTATTTATTTATTTATTTATATGCAAGTCGAGGACTTATTTAACTCGTCATTAGATACTGTTAAGACCTGAGAAAGACAATGTCCTGTCTTTGGGATGTGTTCGGCTTTAATTGTTTTATCTGTATAATAATATTGTCTCTGGTAACAGCTAACCAACCAAACGTGCCTTGTTCACCACTGACGTATATTTAGTCAGGTTCAGCTAACTTTTCAAGTTCTATGCTTGTAAATACAGAGACAAAGTACTGATTTAGCACTGATGATTTAGTACTGATTTTAACTCTGGTTTCCCCCCCTTACTGATTTAGAATGCTTCCTGTTTCATTGTCATTATCAGCTACATGACCTAACTCATTCTCAAAGGACCAGTATTCTGCCTCGTCTTTGGTTTATCTGTGTAGCGAGTAATCCTTATACTCGCTCTATTATCTCATCATCTTAATGGCGTAACTAATTAACTATACAAGCTATAATCCTATCCCTATTTACAGGTAACAGTTCTTCCATCCTCCTATCTTATTGGAGGGAGCTGAGGTGTAGTCACCATATATAAGCAAGCGATATGAGAATAGAACACTCCATCTGGTCACCACTTGGTCCGGGAGACATCTCCCGTCATGCAGGGTGCAGTCGCGCCTCCACAGATCTCCAGTATCAGCTCTTGATACTGGTAATGGCTCAAAAGGGCCACCACTTACGGGCTATTCATGCCCGTGCCACCTTTTGGGTGGCTTAATCTTCATCAATCAATCAATCGAATAGAACACACACACGGGAGACATCTCCCGTCACGCAGGGTGCAGTCGCACCTTCACACCAGTATCATCTATTGATACTGGTGATGACTCAAAAGGGCCACCACTTACGAGCTTTTTATGCCCGTGCCACCTTTTGGGTGGCTTCATCTTCATCTTAACACATTCACACGGGAGACATCTCCCGTCACGCAGGGTGCAGTTGCACCTCCACAGATCTCCATTATCAGCTCTTGATACTGGTAATGGCTCCAAAGGGCCACCACCTACGGGCTATTCATGCCCGTGCCACCTTTTGGGTGGCTTAATTATCATCAATCATCATCAGAATAGAACACGGGAGACATCTCCCGTCACGCAGGGTGCAGTCGCACCTCCACAGATCTCCAGTATCAGCTCTTAATACTGGTAATGGCTCAAAAGGGCCACCACTTACGGGCTATTCATGCCCGTGCCACCTTTTGGGTGGCTTAATTATCATCAATCATCATCAGAATAGAACACGGGAGACATCTCCCGTCACGCAGGGTGCAGTCGCGCCTCCACAGATCTCCAGTATCAGCTCTTGATACTGGTAATGGCTCAAAAGGGCCACCACTTACGGGCTATTCATGCCCGTGCCACCTTTTGGGTGGCTTAATCTTCATCAATCAATCAATCGAGAACAGAAAACACGGGAGACATCTCCCGTCACGCAGGGTGCAGTCTCACCTCCACAGATCTCTAGTATCAGCTCTTGATACTGGTAATGGTTCAAAAGGGCCACCACTTACGGGCTATTCATGCCCGTGCCACCTTTTGGGTGGCTTAATCTTCATCAGACAATCAATCGAATAGAAAACCACCGCTCCTGTGCCAGCTAAGTCCACTATGGGCTCACCATAGCCCGTGCTACTTGGAACTTGTTCCGAGTAGCCGAATCTGTAACAACAATAGAATAGAAAACGGTACAATTTCCAGTCAAGAATGTAGCACTCAGGGTATGCAGTTCTAATCGACCCCAAGACACTACAGCTTCGTCACAGAACAGGCAGCAGACTAGGACGGCATCCAGCTACAACGCTCCCACATAGAGCTCTGCGACTCCGGCCTCACTCAGCTCTCTGCTCTGCTCCAAGCTCCGTCTCAACGTCTACGATACTGCTGTATCCAAGACTACTAAATAAATATGAAAACCCACTAAATACTGTGTATCTATTCTACTCAATAACGTAACATAATCATACGTTACATCTGCATGACCTGCTATACACATCTCTTTTCTTTGTAGAATTTATTTTTGTTATTCTTATCTCTTTTTTTTTATCTGTTCTTGATAGTGCGATAACTCGTCGATATTGATCTTCTTCTTCTCTATTTTGTATATGCTTATATAGATATATTTTGTCATACATAGTAAAGCTGTTTAGTCGCTTATAATATTTTTTCCATCTATTCCGCATGCCTGCAATTTCTGTATCAGTTTTTAATGTTATACCTTACCGAAAACTAGGTTAGTACTTGCGAGTGGGTACCTGTGTTAGTTTTAAGTGCGCTGACTATAAGAATCCCATTTGAAGCAATTGGTGCAGATAGATATAGAAATTCAGTATAGTTTTTCGTGAAACAGTCAGTAGCGTTGGTGTTGCTGGGATTTTATTTATTGATGAGAAGACAGTATTGAATTCAGTGACTGATAGAATGTTTTCAACGTATCCGGTAAAGTTTTGATTATAATTTTTCTAATATCCCTATATATGAAATATATATCTCTTTTAAGTTGAATATTTCAATTTTTTGTTTAAGCTGAATACTTAAATATGGAAAATTAAGTCTGAATGTTTTGCACTATAATTTTTCCTGCTATTTAACTGTAAATATGTATTGCATTTCATTGGCTGATGCAATTTATATAATTTGAACAAAAGTTAAACAGACCCACCTTAAAGATTTGAAATAGCCGCTCAAAGGCTCATGCGCCAGGCTGATAGAGGAAACGAGTCATTTAGTGAGACATAACCAATGAGAAGTGCTCACTTACCCAGCTGCTAGCCAATCACCGGGCTGGGTTTAGTAAACATGATTCAATTTGCTGAAGGCGCGGCTAGTGTCTGATATACTAACAATTGCTTCATTGAACATTATAAGGTACAGTATTTATTATAACCAAATAAGAGCTTGATCAATAGATGTATACTATTATGCAAGGATATATACACCGAGAGTTGTACTACGCTCCTCGGTGTATATTCACTAAGTTTGCTTTAATCCTGAATTATGTTCACGACTATTAATTATTTACATGAATTTACCTGAGAGTTAACTATCTCTAGTGGCTTCGACGATGACAGGAAGCCAGCGGCTTGTCAAAGGTCCCTCCCATTTTCCCTGATGATTATATCTAGCTGGATTTTAAAATGCGTTAGAATCTTGGTCCTTATGGCTTTGGCTGGTAGGCAGTTCCATAGGTGTGTAAACCTGTTTTCTGTGCTATATTGTGGCTTGTTGAACTTGTAAACTAGTGTCATGGTCCTAATAACTTGATAACCCTTCTGTGGTTTAAACCCAACCCTAAACCAAAAATCTTTTATAGATTTTGCATGGACATTTTGTAGCGTGCTGAATTGCTATGACCAATTCATGAACTCCCATGAATATTCATGAATTGCTGATTAGGCTGAGCCTGGCTATTTTATTTCAACACACACACACACACACACACCAGGCCTCCACCCCCAGAAAGCAGCCCGTGACAGCTGACTAACACCCAGGTACCTATTTTACTGCTAGGTAACAGGGGCATAGGGTGAAAGAAACTCTGCCCAATGTTTCTCGCCGGCGCCTGGGATCAAACCAAGGATCACAAGTCCAGCGTGCTGTCCGCTCGTAGAACAGCTGGAGAGAAATGATATAATATCAGACAGACAGTATGGTCTTCGATCTGGAAGATCCTGTGTATCGAATTTACTCAGTTTCTATGATCGAGCAACAGAGATATTACAGGAAAGAGATGGTTGGGTTGACTGCATCTATCTGGACCTAAAAAAGGCTTTCAACAGAGTTTCACATAAGAGGTTGTTCTGGAAGCTGGAAAATATTGGAGGGGTGACAGGTAAGCTTCTATCATGGATGAAAAATTTTCTGACTGATAGAAAAATGAGGGCAGTAATCAGAGGCAATGTATCAGAATGGAGAAATGTCACAAGTGGAGTACCACAGGGTTCAGTTCTTGCACCAGTGATGTTTATTGTGTACATAAATGATCTACCAGTTGGTATACAGAATTATATGAACATGTTTGCTGATGATGCTAAGATAATAGGAAGGATAAGAAATTTAGATGATTGTCATGCCCTTCAAGAAGACCTGGACAAAATAAGTATATGGAGCACCACTTGGCAAATGGAATTTAATGTTAATAAATGTCATGTTATGGAATGTGGAATAGGAGAACATAGACCCCATACAACCTATATATTATGTGAGAAATCTTTAAAGAATTCTGATAAAGAAAGAGATCTAGGGGTGGTTCTAGGTAGAAAACTATCACCTGAGGACCACATAAAGAATATTGTGCAAGGTGCCTATGCTATGCTTTCTAACTTCAGAATTGCATTTAATTACATGGATGGCGATATACTAAAGAAATTGTTCATGACTTTTGTTAGGCCAAAGCTAGAATATGCAGCTGTTGTGTGGTGCCCATATCTTAAGAAGCACATCAACAAACTGGAAAAGGTGCAAAGACATGCTACTAAGTGGCTCTCAGAACTGAAGGGCAAGAGCTACGAGGAGAGGTTAGAAGCATTAAATATGCCAAAACTAGAAGACAGAAGAAAAAGAGGCGATATGATCACTACGTACAAAATAGTAACAGGAATTGATAAAATCGACAGGGAAGACTTCCTGAGACCTGGAACTTCAAGAACAAGAGGTCATAGATTTAAACTAGCTTAACACAGATGCCGAAGAAATATAAGAAAATTCACCTTCGCCAATAGAGTGGTAGACGGTTGGAACAAGTTAAGTGAGAAGGTGGTGGAGGCCAAGACCGTCAGTAGTTTCAAAGCGTTATATGACAGAGTGCTGGGAAGATGGGACACCACGAGCGTAGCTCTCATCCTGTAACTACACTTAGGTATTTACACTTAGGTAATTACTTGTATTCCGAGGTACCACTGTACCTACTATGTAGATGCCACCCCTGTGACAGGTAAAAACATGTGTTTTTGAAAAACAGCACCATCTGTTACACATAATAGCAACATGCACGCTATACTAAATATGTCATGAATTCCATTTCAATGTTTCTGATTGCATTGATATATTTTATTTTCATAGATTTAAATTTATTTGATTTTTTATTGAATTATTTTGTGACATTGTGTTGGAATTGAGCTGTGTTGTTAACCATACCTTTCATTTTGTAAGTATAAGTATAGATGCCACACCTGTGACAGGCAAAACTATGCTTTTCTTGAAAAACAGCACCATCTGTTGCATGTAAGAGCAACACACATGCTATACTAAATATGTTACAATGCCATTTCAATGTTTCTGATTGCATTGATAAATTGAATTTTCATAGATTTTTATTTATATTTATTTAGATTTAATTATTTTGTGTGAATTGCGTTGGAATGGAGCTGTGTTGTTTACCATACCATTCATTTTGTGAGTATAGTTTATTTTTTTTTTTCACGTTTTCATTTCATTTTTTAACTTTTTCTTATATTTCGGTGATGGGAACATCATATCACTTGATGTTCCAAATTTTCTGATGGGAAACATCAGACCATTTGGGAAGGCATTGGACGAGGGTGTGGGGAATGGTGGGGATGACGAGGGGACAGAAGTGAGAGATGGTGGGGAGGACGAGGGGACAAGGGAGGGGTTACTGGTGGGGGAAGGATGGGGGGGGGTGGATGGGGGAGTTTGGGATGGTGGGGACGAGGGGAATGGAAAATGGTGGGGAGGACAAAGGGACAGGGGAGTGGGGCATGGTAGGAAGAAGGGACGGTGGAGTGGGGAATGGTTGGGAGGCCGAGGAGACGGGTGAGGGGGGGAATGGTGTGGAGGACTGGGAGACAGGGAAGGTTGCTGTAGCTCAGCAACGCACATGCATTGCCGAGCCACAGCAACGCACATGCATTGCCGAGCCACAGCAACGCATGGCCAGGTACTTCTAGTGAGGAATAATTGCTGACAAGCAAAGTCAAGCTTAGACCTTTGGTGATCATGTTTGTATTTTGCCATTTCACTTTGATTTTTACTGTGTGTTAAATAATTCTATTTGCACATTACTGTATTGACAAAAAGCAGTTGTAAGGTACGGTATAGGCTTACACTGTAATATGTACACCTATAGCGCATGAAAATCTGTTCCTGGCACAGTTCAAAGAAAGTCTTGCAACCCACTTTTTCACTGCTATTATGTTTGGTAATGTCATTCCGAAATATTCACACTGCTGAGAAATGCCAAATTTCAATTTAACGATAATCGCCTTGCTGGTGATACAAAATAACCTCGTCTAATGTAAGACATTGAAAATAATAAATTTGTTTGTAGGTCTAGGTAAACTCCATTACCTTGCATCCTTTTAGCCTTATTGAGATCATTTGTATAAAAACTGGGTCTATTAAAATAAATAATTTTATTAAAATAAACATTTTATAACTGCATTACTATACTCTGTGGATCAATATATGATAACTGCACTTTATGGGGTTAAATATTACCTGACTTGTCCTTACTGTTTATGAAAAATAATAATATACTGTAATAAAATTATTTTAATTATTTTCAGAGCACTATGAGTAAATTTAAGACAGATGTGAAGGTGGTTTTCTCTTCACATTCAGAAAAAAGGGACCCCGTCAACAAACAAGCTCTTAAAGAAAATAAAAAAAAGTAAGTTAAAATGTAGGGAATACAAGTTTCTCCAGAATTCCTTATGGTGTGCAGCTGCCGGTAGCACCTAGCAGTGTATAAGCAGATCGAGTACTGTATAGGTGATTTCTGGCAGTTGTACTGTAGATTGTGATTGAGTTTGCATTAATCAGAGCAGTCTCTCTTAAGGGTTAAGATACTGTACTGTACAGATACTTAATGTTGCCATGCTGAGTTTGGCAAACTGATACTTATTAAAATTAGTGTACCCCATAGGCAAGCTGTGTGTGTTTGTGGTTTAGTGAGAATTGCAAATTAAAAATCAAAATCTGTTCTGGCAAGACAAATTGTACCATCTTTCATATGTATGATAAAATAGTAATAAATGAACCCATCTACCTTTTTAGACACATTTTGTTTACTAAAATACACTAAATACTAAATAAACACTAAATAAAGAGATTAGATGTGTGTACATGTATATATATTATACAGTACTGTACATATTTCATTTTACTAGAATATTGAATGTAATGTATCTTAAAGTTTTGTTTTATATTCTTAGTTATGATAATCTGATGCCATATGGTATTAATTCGCCAACAATTTTAGGGGCTTTTAAAATTGTCATTTGAAAAAGAACTTTTACCCTGGATACAAGTTTTAACACTTTATTTACATCAAACATAGGGCCTATAATATTGTTCCAGCTCATTATGTATGCCTATTTTTTCATGCTGTGTAATTTTTCTTTTGCCTGGTTGCTACATATTTATTTTTCGCTTCAAAATAAATGTCGTGAATTAACGGTAAAAAGTAAATACTTTCGTAAAAAACAAAATCATATTCTGGACATTACGTTATTAAGGTTGGAGGAGAATGGCTAAATAATTGAAGTTTCTCCTGATGATCTATCTATCTTGACGATTTTCACATGCATGGACATCTGGTACTATTGACTGACTGACTTGTTACATTTTATCTTACTCAGACATGGTCTGTCTTCTGCTCTTTTACTGTTTGTGCCTGCTGTATTATGTGGCTTTGGTCTCTTCCTCCTGAACCTACTGAGGTTCATGGGTTCTTTCCTGGTGCTCGGAGGTTGTGTGTAAACCTAGGCCTTGCACTACAGTATTTTATTTTATCCCTGGTTAGATATATATATATATTTTTTTTTTTTTTGTCCAGAGCTTTCCCTTTTCTCTGTATACTTTTACTTTGCATGGCTCTGTGGGCTCTATGCCAGTGTTCTGGCCACCCCTTGGGCTTATTTTCTACCCTTCACTCTAGGGTTATCGTTTTGTGTCCTGTGTTCCTTGGAGTTTTTCTCCAATAGGATGTCGGAAAGTGCTATGGCTTGCTCTGCAGTTTCCACATCTTCAATTCTATGGCTTCATCCATAGAATTAGTTAGGAGCAAGGGAGGAATCCCGGTCATATGTGGCATTCATCCAAGAATGGGAGTTGGAAATGAATGGTTGTCACGATTTAAAAAAAAATGGCTTTTGTTTAGGATCCGCCATGAGGAAGCTGATGGGAAACCTGTGTAGCTGCGGGAGTTTTAAATATAACTATAACTATAAGATCCCCGAGGCGCATTGCGCACCACCCGTCGAGAGCCTCAAGGCACGTTGCGCAGTGCAGTGGTTAACGTCTATTGTGGGAAAGTTACTTTAATCGATAAATGCAAATACCATTCATCTTCATCTTGAAAAACATAAATTAATAAAAGATTCACAACATGGTTTTACTAACGGTCATTTGTGTTTAACAAATTTGCTATCATTTTATTCCAGCATAGTTGAGGTAGTTAATAGTGGTAAGGTTTGTGATGTTGTGTACCTTGACTTTAGCAAAACTTTTGACAGTGTCACATGAAAGACTGATTAAAAAGTTAAAGGCTAACGGTATTGGAGGGTACTATATTAAGTTGGATTAGGGCATGGCTATACCAAAGGAAACAAGAGTTAGTATACATGGGCTTAAGTCTGAGTGGGATAATGTTGTAAGTGGAGTGCCTCAAGACTCTGTCTTGGGACCTCTTTTATTCAAAATATATAAAAATTATTTAGATTCAGGTTTGAACAGCAATATTTACAAATTTGCTGATATGAATATCGGGAGGGAAATAAACATGGAAAAAGACTCTTTATCACTTCAAGACTATCTAAATAGGGTTTTGAAATGGTCAAAAGATTAGCAGATGCAGTTTAATGCTGACAAATGTAAGGTTTTGAGGCTAGGTAATGATATAGTTACAAGATACGAGCTAAATAGTGTTAAGATTGTGAAGTCAGATTGCAAGATGGATCTGGGATTTATGATAAGTAAGAATTTAAAACCAAAAAATCAATGCATAAATGTTCGTAATAAGGCAGATAGGACACTGGGATTTATTAATTGAAGCCTTACTAATAAGACACCTGGTGGTGTTCTTCAGCTATATCTTGCTCTGGTTAGGCCCCATTTAGATTATGCAGTTCAGTTTTGGTCACTGTACTATAGAATGGATATAAATTCACTAGAATGCGTCCAGCGTAGGATGACAAGGTTAATTCTGCAAATTAGAAACCTGTCATATGAAGAAAGATTGACAAAGCTTAAATTGCATACACTGGAAAGGCGAAGAGTTAGGCGTGACGTGATAAAGGTTTACAAGTGGATGAATGGACATAACAAAGGGATACAAATAGGGTATTAAAAGTATCAACACAAGACAGGACACGAAACAATGGGTATAAACTGGATAGGTTTAGGTTAAGGAAAGGCTTGAGTAAAATACTGGTTCGGTAACAGGGTTGTTGATTTGTGGAACCAATTACTGCGTAACGTGGTGGTGGGGTCCCTCGATTCTTTCAAACATGGGTTGGACATGTATATGAGTGGGATTGGGTGCTTATAAATAGAAGCTGCCTTGTATGGGCCAATAGGCTTTCTGCAGTTCCTTTGTTCTTATGTTCATGCTTCACTCTGCCTGTTTTCTTTTTTTTTCTGCCTACATTGTTACCTTGCATTGGTTCCAAGGATCTATTTCCTGCAGCATAGTATCTGCCAGGCCTCCTGATTGGTGGCCTTGTCAACCAGGCTGTTACACCTGTTTGTTGTGTTTTGAATGAATTGGTCTGGTTGTGCAGGATGTGTTATGTATTCGTGCAGATAATTTTTGTTTTGTTCCTTTCACATTCCACTTTGTATGTGAAAGTTTTTTTGTGGGTGCTTTGTCTTGGCTGCTTAATAGTTACATCATGTGCTGGGCACTGGCCTAGGTGGCTTTGGGTTGATTTTCTTGCCCTCGATTCTCTCTTTTGGGGGATTTGGACTTCTCTTTCCACGCATGATGTTTTTTCCTTGTTTTTTTTTGTTCTGTGTGGTGATACAGCAACAGGGAGCCACTGACAGAGCCCTCCTGAAAGTCCAGCATTTAATGTAATAAAATGCCCCTTTCTTGTGGGTCCTTAGGTTGTAATGGTGGGGGTATTTATGGTCCTTCATTGCAAGTCATACTTGACACTAGAGTAACAAGGAAGGGAAGGGTGGAAGGGGGGGAGGGGCTGCTGCTGCTCCATGTTAACAGACTGAGGACTTTCTATACTTGATCTTACTCTGAAAACACTAATAAATACTGAACCAAGCAAAACCTGTCAGAAACCTGTTCCAGAACAGAACTTTAAAACAGTCTCCGTGGTGTAGTGGTAAGACACTCGCCTGGCGTTCCGCGAGCGCTATGTCATGGGTTCGTATCCTGGCCGGGGAGGATTTACTGGGCGCAATTCCTTAACTGTAGCCTCTGTTTAACGCAACAGTAAAATGTGTACTTGGATGAAAAAACGATTCTTCGTGGCAGGGGATCGTATTCCAGGGACCATAGGATTAAGGACTTGCCCGAAACGCTACGCGTACTAGTGGCTGTACAAGAATGTAACAACTCTTGTATATATCTCAAAAAAAAAAAAAAAAAAAATTGATTCTGGGTACTGATGAACAAAATTAAGTGAACTGACATTCACATTTAGTGCTTGATAGAGTAAATGAGGAGAGAGCATTTTCACCTCATTTTCATATCATACTCTTACTCTCATTTGCTAACTCCCATTCCCCAGTACAGTATTACCTTACACCTGTTTGGATTGAATTCCAGCTATCATTTATCGGCCCACAACTGATGTCAAAATATTCTTGCAGCATTTTAGTCCTCTTTAGTTCTTAATCTTGTCATTAACTTTGCATCATTTGAAACCATTAACATTTACTTAGCTTGCTCCCTCTGGTAACTTAACTGAAAATAATTTGAAGCTGTGCCATGACTATTCATAATTTTGGTTTATAATTGGTTAATACAGGCTAAACCATGCTAAATGGTCACCATGGCCAGGCATTGACCATACTAAATGTTTTTGTTCTTAAAGGAAGGTATAATGAGGTTAGGACTTTAAGATTTTAAAATTCATAGTTTAGTGTATTTCTTTTCCAGAACAAGAACCCCTCTTCATACTCAGTCTTCCAACCCTCTACAAGAAATGGACAGTGCACGTTTATTGAAGACTCCTTCGAATATGGCGAACACAGCCCCTGCAATAACACCTCGGACACCCATGTCGGCCACATCATTCGTTCCCAGAGGAGTCAAAGCACACTCCTCCAATACTGCTCCTACCACTCCACGTACACCTGCGACATCCACATTACACCCATCTGACATTCGGGGCACTACACCGTGTCATGTTCCTTCTCCATTATGTTCTGCAAAAGGTGTAACTTTAAGGGCCAACCGTACACATCTGCAGCCATCTGTTTCCAGAACCCCTGGAACTAACACACCAAGGTTAGATATTTTGAAAGTACTGTATACAGGCCGTGTGTTTATTTCGAGTGAATACAATAGTTATTTTTATCATTACAGTATACCAGTCAATGACATGTCAATGATTTGGAGGATCAATGTCCCCACGGCCCGGTCTCTTACCAGGCATCCTGGTTGGTGGTCTGATCAACTAGGCTGTTTGATGTGGCTGCTCACAACCTGACATACGAGACATAGCCTTGTTGATCAAGTATCCTTTGAAACAGTGTTTAAGTTCTCTATTGAATACTTTGAGAGGTCGGCCAGTTATGCCCTGTATATGTAAGAGGAGAGTACTGAAGGCCTGGGCCTTTGATGTTGATCGAATTCTCTCTTCTTGCCTGTTGGATCTCTGCATTTCAATGGGGCTATTTTGTCTATCTGCTATGCCTTCTGGTCTTGTGGTTATCTTGATGATTTCGGGGCTTTAGTGTTCCCGCGGCCCGGTCCTCGACCAGGCCTCCACCCCCAGGAAGCAGCCCGTGACAGCTGACTAACTCCCAGGTACCTATTTACTGCTAGGTAACAGGGGCATTCAGGGTGAAAGAAACTTTGCCCATTTGTTTCTGCCTCGTGCGGGAATCGAACCCGCGCCACAGAATTACGAGTCCTGCGCGCTATCCACCAGGCTACGAAGCCCCCTCGAGGCTGTGGTGTGTGCAGATTTGGAATCAGTCCTTCTAGTATAGTAATTTCCAAGTGTAAATAGTGTTTTTCAAAGTATCATTGGTGTGGTATCTTTTGTTTGAAATGATCTCGTTATCCAACCTGTCATTTTTCTTGCAGTTCTGACAGCTACTGTGTTGTGTTCTTCAAAAGTAAGGGGGTCTTCTGAAATGATTACTCCTAAATCTTTTACATTGCTTCTCTTTCAATAGTGTGGTTTGACTGTTTTATACACAGTTTCTTTGTTGATATTTTTGTATTTTCCATAGCACAATAACTGGAACTTATCCTCATTACACATGTTATTTCTATGGCATTTTGAAATACTTAATTGGCATCAGATTAATGGTTTGCCATGTTTTCTATATTGTCTACTCTGTGAAAATTCTAGTGACATCTGCAAAGGATAATAGAGTACAATTGGTTGTATCCTTGTCTGTGTCTGATATGAGGATGAGAAACGGTACTGGAGGAATGAGCTTATCACAGTGGATAATCCAGATTTTACTTTGTTAATCATTACAATCTGAGATGTGTTCATTAGGAAGTTCAAGATCCATCTTCCTACTCTGCCAGTAATTCCTTTTGAGTACATTTTGTGTGCAATAACACCAGGGTCACATTTGTCTTTAAAAACTTTTTACAAAATCTGTGTATACAGTATTACATCAGCATTATGCTCGTCTTCCATGGCATCTAAGGCTATGTCATAGTGGTCTAGCGATTGTGAGAGACAGGTTTTTGACCCTACTGGTGGACTGTTCAAGGTTGTATGTGTGTTACTTGGGTGTGTGTGAGTGGCATGTTACCTTTCCTTATCTTGTCTTGTGATGGTTCTGAGGATCAATGTCCCTGTGTTGCAGTCTCTAATCAGGCATCCTGGCTGGTGGTCTGGTCAACCCAACTATTGGATGTGCCTGATGTATGAATCATTGTCTGGTTGAACAGGTATCATTTGGAGATTTCTGTCAAGTTCTCTTTTTGAACTCTGTGAGAGGTCGGCTGGTTATGCCCCTTACGGGTAGTGTGTGTGTTGAACAGTCTTGGGTCTTTATTGTTGATAGAGTTCACTCAGAGTACCTATTGCACCTCTGCTTTTTAGCGGAGCTATTTTGCCATTCCTCCTGGTCTCATGTGATGTAATTTCCATCTACATATGTGGAACCAGTTCCTATAATATTTTCCCAAGTTGGCATTATTATTTATCTCTTCCCTGCACTCTGTGGAATACAGATTTAAAAATTTGACTAGGTCCCAATAATTTAGTGCTTTATTGAGTGGATTGTATCAGTAAAGGATCTTTGCACACCCTCCTGGTCAGCAATTTCTCCAGCTATGAATGGTGCTGTTATTGTGCAACAATATTCCATCCTAGAGATCGCCAGTGTCTAGAAGAGTATCATCATTAGTATGGCATTTCTTGTTTATAAGGTCCTTGTTATCCAACCTGTTATTTTCTTGCAGTTGTGACAGCTACCCTGCTATTCTTTAACTTAGATCTTCTCACATGATTACTTGCAGATCATTTATATTGCTTTTTCATTCTATATTGTGATTTGACTGTATTTTTTATGCAGTTTCTACTATTGTATTTTTGTTTTTTCCATAGCACAGGAGCTGGAATTTATCTTCATTAATTAAATATCATTATTTTCTGTGACAGCACATTGAAAGACCTAATGTTTGTGGTGATGTCTTATGATATGAGGATGAGAAAAAGTACTAAAGAAAGCAGAGTATTCTGGCGGGGACTGAGCTTTTCACAGTGGATTATCTGGATTTTACTCTGTTGCCTCCATTGTTAACATGACTTATGGAGCAACAAAGGTAGTAGTAGGTCTTTTTATCCTGCATTAGTAGGGTTTACTTTTGTATTTGGTTGGCTCCTTCATCCATTAATATTAGTCTTTTAATTTGTATTAAAACCCTGCATATTTGACAGATTGGTTCATTCCATTAAAATTTAATGTAGAGTATTGAGTGAAAAGATAGGTTGTGCTTTTAACCTCGGTGCATTACCCAGCTCAAAGAGAAGCTAGGCTTAAGTCAGCCCCCCTGACACATCCTTGAACAAATGATTAGCAATGGTTTTACACACAGTAAAAGTCATTTTCTGTACTCACCAAGTTGTGCTTGCAATTAAGCTCTGGCTCTTTGGTCCTGCATCTCAACCGTCAATCAACTGATGTACAGGCTCCTGAGCCTACTGGACTCTCTCATATCTACACTTGAAACTGTGTATGGAGTCTACCTCCACCACATCACTTCCTTATGCATTCCATTTGTCAACTACTGACACTAAATTTTTTTTTTCTAATGTCTTGAACGTGTCCAGCGTAGGATGACAGTTAATTCCCCAAATTAGAAACGTGTCATATGAAGAGAGATTAACAAATCTTAAATTGCATTCACTGGAAAGGCGAAGAGTTAGGGGTGACATGATAGAGGTTTACAAGTGGATGAATGGTCATAAAGGGGATATTAATAGGGCATTAAAAGTATCAACACAAGACAGACAAAACAATGGGTATAAATTGGATAAGTTTAAATTAATTTAGGAAAGACTTGGGTAAATACTGGTTCGGTAACAGGGTTGTTGATTTGTGGAACAAATTACCACGTAATGTGGTGGAGGTGGGGTCCCTCGATTGTTTCAAACGTGGGATTGGACATGTATATGAGTTGGATTGGGTTTGTATAAATAGGAGCTGCCTCGTATGGGCCTTCTGCAGTTACCTTTGTTCTTATGTGTGTCTGGCTCATTTGAGCACTCATTTTCCACCCTTGTTCCTTAGTGCATGTGCCCCTTGAGTTAAATAGTCTGTTTTTATCTACCCTATCAATTCCTTTGAGAGAATCTTGTATGTGGTGATCATGTCCCTCTCTAACTCTTGTCTTCCAGCGATGTGAGGTTTAATTCCCGTAGTCTCTCCTTGTAGCTCATAACCCCTCAGTTCAGGTACTAGTCTGATGTCAGATACCTTAGAACCTTTTCCAGTTTAGTCTTATGCTTGACTAGATATTGACTCCATGCTGGAGCTTCATACTCCAGGATTGGTCTGACATATGTGGTATACAAGGTTTTGAATGATTCCTTACACAAGTTTCTAAAGGCGGTTCTTATGTTAGCCAACCTGGCATATGCTGCTGATGTTATCTTCTTGATATGGGCTTCAGGGGACAGGTCTGGTGTGATATCAACCCCCAGAGACCTGGGGGGTTGATATCTCTCTCTGATTCATGAAGGATTTCATCTCCCAAATGATACCTTTTATCTGGCCTTCTGCTCCCTAAACCTATCTTCATTATATTACATTACATTTGCTTGGGTTAAACTCTAACAACCATTTGTTGGACCATTCCTTCAGTTTGACCAGGTCTTCGTGAAGACCTGGTCAAAACTGTCCTCCTCTGTCTTGATCCTTCTCATAATTTTAGCATCGTCAGCAAATATTGAGAGGAATGAGTCTATACCCTCTGGGATATTTAAATATTTAAGAAATGAGTACAGAGCCCTGTGGGACTCCACTGGTGACTTCACACCAGTCTGAGGTCTCACCCCCTCACTGTAACACTGCTTCCTATTGCTTAGGTATTTCCTTATCCATTGGAGCACCCTACCAGTTACTCCTGCCTGTTTCTCCAGCTTATGAAGCAGCCACTTATGGGGTACTGTGTCCAAGGCTTTCTGACAGTCCAAGAAAATGTAGTCCGCCCATCCTTCTCTTTCTTGCTTAATCTGTCACCTAATTGTAGAATTCTGTTAAGCCTGTAAGGCAAGATTTACCCTCCCTGAACCCATGTTGGGGGGGGGGTGTATCTTACCTGTACGTACGGCTCGTTGCGCTTACAGAGACAAGAAATTAACGGTCTAGGGACATGAATATGGCTCTGTATATAAACACGTGCAACCAAGGTAACCTCGTAGATACGTACATACAATATAATTAAAAGAAATACCCCAGGAAAAAATATCACCCGTATATATAAACTATTATAATTAAAATAAAAATTGGGTATTTATAATTAACATACTATTTCACTTCAAGTATAACAGTAATCAGAATGGCTCATTCAGATATATGAACTAAGACTTATGTATTGCCAGATAATTATCTACTAATAAAAACAGAAATAAGTACTGTACACAGAACAGACACTTGTCAGACAAGTTGACCCTACGCTCGTCTCCCAGTTACTGAGCTACGTGGCGTCAGGACACCCCCCACATTTGCTCCCTCCGCCTCATCCAGGATGAGGGATGGTAAATAAGGACTTTTTAATATTTACAACTAATTGAACAACCACTTGTTCTC